TACATGGGAGAAAGAAGAAATAACAGCACTGTCCAATAGTTCTTTTGGATAGAACACATAATTTTTCACTAAATGCGAAGGCAATAACAAACCATTCTGCATCATCAAATGTTATGGTATGAGACTTAAGCTGGATTTCAAATTGTATACTGCTGCCAACCATCTCATTCTACCTTGGGAAGTGGAAAGAGAGTGACAAGTGTATGTAGAAGTAATATCTTCTCGGAATTATTCTATAGAAACAGTCATCTTAATTATATTGAAATGTTTTAAACGTTACAGCTTTTTATATCACCATTCTCGATGACTAACATAAGAAATTCCTAGCTGGAGCACATAACAGACTCGGTGGAGAGAATCAGCAATGAAAAAAGTACTGCCAAAGAATGTGGTTCCTTTTCATGAAATCAATGGAAGTTTTTTTTCTTTTCCAAAAAGGGAAAAAAAGAAACTGAAAACTCCAGAATTGATATCCCTGGGTCATAGCATTTACAAAATATATCCAACCATTTTGAACTTTAATAACTGTTTGTGGTTCCCAGCAGACATTCTTTGGTATTTTTACATGCATAATTTTGAAGTAATTCCCTAATCTATATGTATGCTGATCAGTTCAGAGTTTTTGGCTTTCTGCAGCTTCGTCTTAACAGCAATGGCTTTATCATTGGCACTGAATATTTGTCTGACCTTGTGGAGAAGGAACACGCTGATCACAAGCATGGTACTGCCCTTTTCCACTATCCACATACTTATTGGTCGATAAAGTTGTCTTGTTTTCTTATATTTCTTCTGGTATACTTAAATATATTATACTGTCAATCAACCATCAAAATAAAAGAAAGTGTTACTGCTTTCTTTATATCTTAAATCCATTTTGAGTTATCTCAATGAAGGGGAAATCCCCATTTCCTTTCTTTCAAGGTGAGATGTTTTGAGAAGAGAAATCCAATCTCACCCACGAACTTTTTTTTTATCCCTTTTTTTTATAGACTTTGAAGAATGAAAATTACATAATATGGGGAGGAAAGCCAACCCCAAGCCAATGGAGAATACAAAAAAGTTCATCCAAAATACAAGAGATCATTTAAACTATAATTGTTAAAAGGATAGTAATATTCACATCACACCAAGATAAAGCAGTAACTAAAAGTACATTTACCCATAAACTGATATAACCCAATTTAAGAAGATAAGCTAATTGTTGAATGAAGCTAAGGTTGAATAATTTCGGATTGGACGTTTCCCATATTGATGCCTATTTGTTTCCAGCTGATCCCACCAAGCTGAAGCTGGGTTTGAGGGCAACCAATTTGACTTTCTGGTGTATTCATGTATCTGAAAAAATTCTCAACATTCTTTTCCCCATCAAGAAATCTCTCAATATCCATTTTCCGATTGAAGCTCGGTAAATCGATTTTCATTTTGTACTCACTGGTTTCATGGAATTGTTGTTGAGGGTATCGGATTACTCGCGTGTCATCCATTGGGTTTGGGATATCATCTTCCCCACTGGACAAGTCTAAATCGATCCTTCTTTGATACAGGGGATTGCGGTTTATTTCTTGTTGGACATCCCTTGGTTCTTGTGGCATTCTTGGTTTGACATATGGTTGATCTTGTTGATGTCTTTCTCTTGTCTTTATTCCCCATGATCAAATCATTGTTTCAGTTTCAAATCTTTAAGTTGCTCCGAAATTGAAATCAGTACTTGTTGTATCTCACCCACCTTCCTATTGATGTTATCCACAATTTCTTCAACTAACAGTAAGTGAGTCGTGTTGTGAGGTGAGAGGACAGTAGTTTGATCCACCTCTTTTCTGGCGAGAGATTAATCTCCTACGATGGTGGTGGGGGTTTTCTTGCCCGCCATTGATCCCAAGATTTGGGTGCTCTTACACCAATATGTAACCCAATTTAAGAAGGTAGATTATTATTGAATGAAGCTTAGGTTGAATACAGAAGCTCCTTTTATAGGCAAGGGCTGGAGCAGGATAAGACCTTTTAAACTAAAAGGCTTCCACAACTAACTAACTAAACTAAAAGAGAGTTACTAATTAACTAGCTAGCTAACTTAAATAAAGGACAGGTAGTTACATCACAAACTTTTTGAATAAACGTCAAAACTAGCCTTTTGAAACTTCCTCAAAGATTTGGTGTACTGATTGCGGTCTTCAATTCAACCAAGAGGTCATGGGATTAATGCCCACCTCTTGCATGCCTTCCTTGAGATGTTAATATCCCATGGCTTCTATAAGTATCAAATTTGTAGGGCCAAATGGTTGTCTCAATTTCAAACTCAGGTGAACTTTGAGACCTGTGTTTCTTATGCAAGCCCAAGCAGTTGCCATAGGCAGGGTTAGCTAGGTGTGTCCAACAATCTTTCATGTCTAGCACTTCTACTTAGGTGATTACCTTGGATGCTTCTTGGCTGTTTTATTATCACCTTTTGTGCATCTTAGTAAATCAAGATAATCTTCAACTTTTCTTGAGTACATTTGACTAAGATGTCTTTTTATCATTTATTATTGGGCAAAATACATTTTTGGTCCCTGAGGTTTGAGGTAGATGTCTACTTGGTCCCTGAAGTTTCAAAATGAACACTTTTGGTCCCTGAGGTTTGAGAGAGGTGTCTAATTGGTCCCTGAAGTTTCAAAATGAACACTTTTGGTCATTGAGGTTTAAAGTAGGTGTCAACTTGGTTCCTAAAATTTTAGAATGAACACTTTTGGTCCCTAAAGTTTGAAAAATAGTTCTAAATGGTCCCTGATTTTTTTACTGTTAATTAATTAATATTAAAATGACATTGCAAATTGCAATTAAATTGTTTATTGTAGTTGCTGATGTGACAAATTATATTAATTAAATAATATATGTAGGTGATGGTACTTTTTCTCTCTCATCTTCTCATCTCTTCCGCTCTCTTTCTCCTACCCTTTTCCGACGACCACCACGTCTTTGCCGCCGCCGTTCACTATTCATACTGGACATAATCATTTAATTACAATTTGCAATGTCATTTTAATATTAATTAATTGACAGTAAAAAAATCGGGGACCATTTAGAACTATTTCTCAAACTTCAGGGACAAAAAGTGTTCATTTTATAAGTTCAGGGACCAAGTTGACATCTACTTTAAATCTTAAGGACCAAAAGTGTTCATTTTGAAACTTCAGGGACCAATTACACACCTATCTCAAATCTCAGGGACCAAAAGTGTTCAGTTTGAAACTTCAGGGACCAAATAGACATCTACCTCAAACCTCAGGAACCGAAAATGTATTTTGCCCTTTATTATTTCTTTGAAATAGCAATAGACATCTAAGTAATTTATTGAATAAATATATATTCATGCGTATTTTTTTTAGCACATATTCCATATTTTAAATGTTATATTTATAAAAGAATCTTAGTGAGCTTAATTTGAGTACCTACGACTTTTCAATTTGGATAGATTTAAACACTCTCCATATCGTGAGATGCCTGGTTGCGGACTTCATAAGAAGGCAAAATCTGTTGTATAATTAAATTGTGAATCGGGAGGTTATTAAATGCATTCAGTTTACTTCCCAACAATTTTGTCTACCCTGTTGGAACTTGCTAATCGGTATTTTGTTTTCCTAATCGCACTCTTTGCATCAAAATATCGTCATTTATAAATAACTTTTTAACAGATCATGACAAGAACAAAGATAATCTTCATGCACATGGGTTCGACCAAGCTGCTGAAAATTTGGTCAAAAAGGTTAAGCAAGCCTTAGCAGAAGGAGAAGGCTGTCGGGTAATCCAGATGCAAAATTCCTGTTAGATTGTTTACGTGCTGGTTCATAATTAAAAGACAAGTGCAACCTTTGTTTCAGGTTTATGGAGTTCTAGATGTTCAGAGGGTTGCTGGGAACTTTCACATTTCAATTCATGGCTTAAACATTTTTGTGGCTCAAATGGTCAGTTCACCTAATTTCACTATACCCTCATCTTCATCTCCCTCCAATGTATATTAACTTGGGTTCATGCTGTAGAAATAGACACCACATTGGAAGTTTAATTCTAATTCAGGATGTGTTGTCTTTTATTTTATTCTTTTTGCAGCATCTTTCTGTGAAGTAGGTTCCATCTCACTGTTCTTTCTAATAATTAGGTAGATCTTTTTCTGTTGTTTTTTTTTTTCAGATATTTGAAGGACCAAAACATGTAAATGTCAGTCACATGATTCATGATTTGTCTTTTGGGCCAAAGTACCCTGGAATTCACAACCCACTTGATGGTACAGTTCGAGTTTTACATGACACAAGTGGGACCTTTAAATATTATATAAAGGTAGAAACTCATGCACCACCTTTAAGATACGTTTTGTGCATAATTTTTTATTTCATAGTTTGCAAGATGATTTAATGTCTATTACTGCACATACTGAAGCTGGAGGTGAGGGCTCTCTCTCGCTCTCTCGTGGTAAGCAAGGGAAGTTGGAAGTTTCCTTTCTGGTAAGTAAAGGAAGTCATCTCCTGTATCACGCATGGAGGAAATTGACTGGCAAATTGTCAAACTGATCCAGATTCATTATTTTGACCTTTATGTTTCTCCGTTAAGGATTCATATTTTGTACTCTCTCTCTGTCTCTCCTTCCATCTCTTCCATGGTAGTAAAAGAAGTTGAAGTTTCTTTTCCATGGTAAGTAGAGGAAGTCATCTCCTGTATCTCACATGGAGGAAGTTGAATGGAGGAAGGATTTGATATTTTGTATTTTTCATTAAGAAATTTTAAAAGAATGCTCTTCTCTTTGCTTAGAAGTCAACTAATTATCAGCTATTACCATCAGCGTTTGTTTTCCAGTAATTATATATTTCCAGAGTCCAAGGTACCCAGTGCAGTTCATATTGCAGTCTGAACTAATTATTTGAAATCAGGATATCATTCTATATGGCATCCTTGTTTTTTGAAAATATGGGATTCTCATATTGCATCTGAATGCCCAATGTGTTCTAGTTAGGAATCTTATTTTCGTTGATTGTGTACCTCTTATTAGCTATTCTTGGTTTACAATCAACATTCGATGGACACTGGAGTTTAACCATATAACATGTTTTTCAATGTTTGATTGCAGATTGTTCCAACTGAATATAGATATATCTCGAAAGATGTGTTACCGACCAATCAATTTTCGGTCACTGAATATTTCTCGCCTATGACTGACTCTGATAGGTCGTGGCCAGGTTGGTTAATGCAATCTCATATTCCATAATTTATTATGGATCAGTAAAGTCAGGAATTCTATGTTTCTTTTTTACCGTTTTAGGGGTTTAATAGGCTTTAGAAGAATTATATTTAGTCCTGACAATCAAAAGTTATAGACAAGACCAAATGGTGTATATTTAGTTATTCAAACCACTTAAAAGACCTGGTCGAAAGTCGAAACTTACCATTGTTTTCTATGATGTGCAGCTGTTTACTTCTTATATGATCTATCGCCAATAACAGTGACCATCAAAGAAGAAAGACGGAGTTTTCTCCACTTCATAACTCGGCTTTGTGCTGTGTTAGGTGGTACCTTCGCTTTGACAGGTTCGATATATTGTTGATGAATTTTGTGGTTGATTCTGGAATCATCATGTTAAGAAGCAAAAGGACCATACAAAAGTAGATCACTTCCAAAGGGAAGTAAATCATGAAGGTCTTAGTTTCAAAATTTCTTAATCATATAAGAAACACTCACTCTCAGGACCCCATATATTAGTGCTGAAGTCATTGCTTTACCTTTTTTCGACCAAAAACGAATGATTTTCTCTGCTAAAACCACAGGAATGCTAGATCGTTGGATGTATCGGTTTCTTGAGGCTCTGACAAAGCCAAAAAGTAGAAGTGCATTGCATTAAAAACTTGTTGGGGGTTTCGATCTCCATAAATACATTTGTTCATCAGCAGAAGAAATCTTATGCTGAAATTCTAAAAATAGAGCTGGAAGCATCTGAGTGTGAATGTGGAAGTTTATATAAGATGGAGGCACACTGATGAAAAGCTAACTCTGGGCTTTGGGTGGAAACGGTGCTCGAACAACAGTGCTTGTCTTTCTCCTAAAATTTCCCCCCCGCTTTCTAATTCCAAGTAAATTAGGGGAGTTCCTCTTTTTTCTCTTCTTTTCTGTAGTTTTCAAAGAACGACATGGGGATGAGGGATTATTGTACTATTATTTTGATTATTGCTAGTGATCCTCGTCTGTTATTTTGCTTCATTGGCAACTTACAACTATATGGTTTTAATTATGTTGATGGTTCTAAATACAGGTTCTTAAGTTAAGAGATGGTTCTTGATGGATGTATTTTGAACATCATTTTTTTTTTCCTTTTGTTCAATGAATTTTTGCTGCCTAGTTTTATTCATGTGCGCATTTGCAGTTTTGTTACTGGTGACTTAATTAGACGTTTCTTGTCTGTAATATGTTGCACTCGAACGTTGGTTCTACATTGAATGCCATTTTTCTTAGAATGGCTCTTTCATTCTTGTAATGTCAAGGCAGTCAACTGGTCAAACATCCCAAGTTGGTTTAGGTGAAAAATGGTGACGATTTTTTATATTCAATGAACATGGTCTTTGGTAGAGTCTCCATCATCATCATCATCTTGTGTTACCAATTAGTGAGAATGACAGTTCCTTAACTCGAATTGCATTGTTGAAAAAAGATTAATAATGAAAAAAGATCAATAATCCTACGTTTTTTAAAGTTTATTCAAATGCAATCCACGATTTTAGTATTTGAATTTATAGTTGATTTTAATTCTCTCTCATGCATAGACGTTGAAAGAATTGTAGAAATCCAGAAATCAACATTAAAAATATGAAGTACCAAAAGTTGCACGTCTATCTAAATTCCAAGTGTATGGAAAGAGCAACGAAAATTTACCATCTAAATTCAAGGTGTATTGTTGAGAAAAAATAAGACCCATATCAAATTTTCGATCTGTTATTGAATTAAAAATGTGTAGTACAGTAGTACCCTGTACAGAGAAATTTGACAACCCCCATGGAAAACCAATTTTTTCTCAGTTCTGGAAATGCTGCATTTCGAACCAAAAAACGAAAAGGGGAGAGGAAGCCAGATTGGATCTAGGAAATTTATGTTCAGAACAAAAGTCCAATTTAATTTAATATTCATTTCATTGTGGAACACCAAAAATTAGCTGGAAGTTTGCTTGTGGCCAAATAATTTTCGCTTTTTATGGTTTAATGAGTTTGGGGGGATGATAAAATTAAGGACCCAAAAAAATGCAATGAAATAATTAACGAACCAATGATCTTTTGCAAAAATAATGTAATCCAGGTGGAAGGAAGCATCTGTCACAACATACAAAATTTGAACAATCTGAGTTGAAATGACCATGCATTCTTTTACATTCTCAAAGGGTGACTTGAAACCATCTCTATCGAACAAAAAAAAAGAGAAAAAAAAGGAGCAAAATTTATAACGACATGCCATACACAAGTCTAATACAGAACCTTATTTCGACACGACACTCGAGAAGGAATCAATCTATTGGTGTATTAAAAAGGGGAGATGATGCCGAAGAATCTGACCTCCATTTGCAGGTCAAATAGTGGTGACACTCAGGCAGAATGCTGAACTGAAACAATTACATGAAGTCGTAGTCATCGATATCATCATACGAATTGACCACCAGGTCATCATCTGCCTTTTCGACATGAAGCTGCTTCTTTTTCACAGCTGCAGTGGTTTCCCCACAAACAAGAAACAACAAAACGGTTCACAAACAAGAACCTCAGACCAATCTGGTCTGTAACACATTGAAATAATTCGGAATAGAAGACAACAGGGGATTATAAACACAAATGCTTACCTGTCTTCTTTTTACCAGCATTCGCTTCCTTCTCTGCCTTTAGTTTTTCATTTGCAAGAGCAGTAACAGAAGAGGCAACGTCTTTTGCATCCGCTGCTTTTAGTGAAGCCATCGACAGTCTAATAACGTCCTTCAGCAGATTAATATAATGGAAACTTTTCTGCAACAAAGAGTTTGGGGGAAGCTCATGAGAATAAGCTTTGCTCACACATAGAACAAAACAGATAACGAAGGTAAATTGTGTACCTCATAGGGAAGAAGTTTATGAGAGACAAGCTCTGCATATTCCAAGAAGTCACTCTCAGATTTTGGAATAAAATTTTCGAGGGTCTTCTCATCACCTCTCTTTTTAAACAATTCAGTAGTGGACTTATAATCTGCTTCTTCCACTAACCTGCCACAATTTGGAAACAGACAAAAAAAGCCCCAGAAAGTGATTAAGATCTTTTACAAAGCATACCACTAGTTCATGCCAAAGACACAAGTAGAAGCTCTTCGAATCATTCTAACGTGTTCATTCTCACATGAGCTACAAGCCAAAAAAAGAGAGAAAATCTTCGAGATCTTCAGCTTAAACAATTCAGGGAGAGAAAAAAACATGCAAAATAAGGAAAGAAGCAGAAATCAAATGAATGCACAAATAAATACTAGGTAAGTGCAGGTGCCAAAAGGGACAACGTAAACAAGGCATTTTTGTAAATCACTACAAAATCAGAAGGGGAAACTTTGGATTCTATTTCAAGGTTAAGCATCCTCCTCCTAAAAGGAAACTCTACAAACATCTTCCATAGAAATCATAATAAGACACACAAAAACAATTCATCTGGAGCTTCTCTGCTGCATATTGATGTTTATGTACATAACGGACCACAAAAATAATTCTACCTTCTTATTGAGGCAGTATTCCCATATAACATTAACCCAATTACACCTTAGAACTCCCACAAGTTCAGTCAAAACTGAAAAGGCTGATTTGGCAGAGAAGCTTCCACCTGCTTCCAACTCCCACTTAATCCCATCTTCACCATCTTGCAGCTGAACCCTCCGAAGAATGTCAATTAGGGCAACCCAATTATCAAGCTCTCTATTGAACAAGCCTTGTTCCATTCTCCAGCAAGAGGTTTCAAAGAAGAAGAGTAAATGTTAAGGAATTTAGAGGAGATGGGAGAGGAATCCACTCAAGCATCCTCCCAAAAATGAATCTTCGGTCTATTCCTAACCATGAATAAAGTAAAATCAGAGATGCAGCTAGCTCTTTTCTGCGCTATTTCCCAAGGTCTACCTCCATCCTTGCCTTGGGGAGTGTTGGACTTTCACCAGTTAATATCAAACAATGAAACAGATATGATAACTCTTCTCCAGAGGGCAACTTTCACTTGAGTAAACCTCCAAAGTCATTTCATTGGGAGAGCCTTGTCTAAGGGATCCCAACTAAACCTCCATATTTTATGAGCAAACAGGTATGGTTCCAATTCACCAGGTTTATAACTACCACCACTCCAAATAAAATATCTCATTATCTTCTTCCTAGAATTAAGAACCTTCTGCAGACTTTTATCAAAGAGAACAAATAGATTGACAGGCTGTTAAGAGCTGATTGGGCCAACATCAGCCTTCTATTCCTTTGATAGGAGGAGACCCCTCCATTTATCTAACTTTGTTTTCAGCTTGTCAATTGATTGCCACCACAAACCACACGATCTTTGGTTTCCTCCAAGAGGAAAGCCTAAATAAGAAATGGGAAGATTCTAAGCTTTCAGCTTTACACCCGAGGCTATCTGCTATTTATTCTACCTCGTTGTTGTTGCTATTTATGCCCACCACCACTGCTATCTTATCATATTCAATTTTAGGCCTTTCAGGTTCTGCACAGAAGCAAAACTTGGACAACCATTACTATTCAACTCCTTCCACCAGTTCTCAACAAGCTTCAAAAAATGGGGATACTCCATCCAGCCATTTTCAAAGCAAAAGGGAGAGGGGCCCATCTTTGCGCACCCAGACTAAGGAGAATAGAGAAGTTACCTGATGTGCTTCTAAAGATTCTCCCATCGCAATAAAACAATTCATAAAAATTCAAGTTCAACCCTGCCTCAATTATTTTCCTTCCAAAGATGCATAAAGTAGATAAAAGTTAAGCTAAAAGTTCCTACAGACCAAAGAAAATTAATATTACCTTTGTTGGCGAAGTTTCTCGGCTAAAGGATCTAGAGGCTGTTGCGGTGCTACCTCAACAATTTTCCCTTTCTTTTCAGTAGTTTTGGCGGCAGGTTTCTTTGGGACAGCTTCAGGAGGAGGTTTAACTACTGGAGCCTGTTAGACAAAACAGAAAGGAAGAAAAAGGGGAAAAAAGAAAAACATATACGTCAAATGCATGTTGGCAATAGGCAACTTACTCAAACTAAAGGGTTTGAGCTTCATTAAAGGTTACACGCCCTGAATCTTTGACCTTCTCAAGACCATATACTAATACCAACCCCAACCTTAACGGGAACATATTTCTACGTAAGTTCCACCAACTTCCAAAATAAAGGAAAAGGAACTTCTATTTCTGCCAGTTTTAGGAAATCTGGCTGTACCACCCTGACCCAGTGTTTCAAAATCATATTTGCACACTATTACCTTGGCAAAGAGAGATAACTGTTGGTGTCAAGTCCCTCTCAAATGCTTAAAAAAACCAAAAAATCAACACGACTGTATTCACAAATTTAAAGTCTATCCAACTAGACAATATCACAATTTTACCAATTACAGCACAGCTTACAACAACCAACCATTACCAGACCGATTTCCTGTCTAAGTGCATTATGATGAGAAAAAAAAGAAGAGAGACAAATTTGGTTACTGGAAATATTAGGATACTACGGAGATAATAAAGCTGCCAACAAGTATTAATGATGGCTAACCTTAAATAAAGATTCATCACAATTTTTTATAACGTTGGACTAGTTTAGACCCCATTAATAGTTCATTGTCATCATTTTCCCCTTTTTTCTCTTTTTTTTAATAACTGGGGTCGGAGCTTTGCGCCCACCTCAAGGCTTGGGCTAGTGAGACAACAAGGGTTTTTAATATCAAGCTTAGTGGAAGGTTCAAACTTGAGACATCCAAGCCAGTATGACCATGGGACCCCAAGTCTTTGCCGACCAAACTATCCCTTAGAGGCTAGTTCATTGCCATCATTAGCAGTCAAACTAGATACTTCTTCGTCATCATCTTAAGTCTTAGGATTAACACTCAAAGAAAGAAACATCATTAGCAAGAGAATCAATAATTCTCACCGGTTCAGGTTCAGGTTCATCCTCATCCTCCCAAGACTCCTTCACATCATTATCATCCACATCCTCGTCATCCCATTTATTCTTTGGCTGCTCCTTCTGGAGTGGTGGAATGTTCTCATCCTCTGAAAGAAAATAATACATGCCTAAGCAAACATAGCTAGATAATAGAATATAGAATCTCTTAGCAAGGTCTGAAAGTGGAGAATACATAGCATTCTCTAGGCAGATAGGATTAAATACAGTAAAGAGAAAGAATAAATATAGCACTATTGTAAACTATGTTATGTATTGACTTTTTATACCACAACTATCTGATAAACAATCCATACAGAAACTCAAAAAATAAAGCTAATGACAGAGCACAACAGCTAATGACAATCTAAGATGTTTTCCAATTTCCAATATCTAAAAGAAAATAATGTCATCAGACAGTGGGCGGGCTGAGTTCACAATTGATGTAATGGTCCTCAAGAAATCAAAATTATACATCACATGAACATGTTAGTTAATTGTAGTTTAAAAAAGTTTGAATAAAGATTATAAAATATTAGCATCATAAAACAAGTTCGCTCAGTTATGTACTTTACTTAATAGTTCGCATATACTGTACACAACACAACATAATATAATTTCTTACAGAAATATGGCATAAAGACAAAAATTACCAAATAGGTTCGTATAAGTGGACTCAATTCTTTTTTATTTTAGAAATCCTTCCTATTAAAATCTTCCATGGAAGAGTGGTAAGGATTTTATCACTCATCAGCAAACTAATCACAAATCAGGATTTATGCATTTTCATTCATCACTTGACAGAATAGTAAGCTCCACACTCCTATCTCTTTCGCTCAAACTGCAAAGTTGTAATCTTTGTAGCAGATCCAACAAACATTCTCCTCTATACCATAGACCAAGTACTAATAAGGAAGGCACAATAGCTGGTCTCATCCTTCCCAAGAGAAAAAGGTATAATTTCATTTATTTAATGAATTTCTATTTCTTACTAAAAAAAGGTGAAAAAAATCAATAGGACAATTCATTTATCATGTTTCGGGAAGCACACTCGTTTGAGATATTACTAGACATGATAGTGCAATTTTGAATTTAGGAGTCCAAAACTACAATTGTTTTTATTTATGAGAAACAACGCTTTCATTGAAAAATATGAAAAGAGATACAAAAAGTACAAAAGAGGGTCTACAAAAAAGGACCTACAAAAAACAGCTCTGGGAGAGGAAGTCCTCCAAAGAAAAGGACTACAATCCAAAAGTATGAGACTTAACGAATAATTACAAAAGGCCTTAGAAACCAGGCCCCATAACGAAGTATTATATCTAATAAGATCTCATATATAGTCCATAGATTTCTCCACCCCCCTAAACCCCAAAACTACAATATCAATATAGTGTAGATGAACACAGAGAGCACTTTTTAATTATAAAAAATCCTCTCATGCATATGCCCCCTTTGGAAAGAAGCATGCTCTATAATGAATGGAGTTACAAAGCCAGGCACATAGGCAACACGAAGGCATCTGAATTCACATTAATGACATGCACAGTAAATCAGCTAGATTGGTTTGATCTTATCATTATGATGAATATTTCATGAATTCCAGATATGTTGGGACATGGCACATTCACAGAGAAAATACCAACCAAAAAAAAAAGCCATGATAAAATCATGATACATTAGAGTTTGGGTATGTTATTTACAACGACCATGGCCTGATTTCAAAAAAAAGTGTCACCACATCCACAACTATGTATTATTACAGATTAAATTATAAACCATCTAGCATTACCCCAGTCATCCATTGCCTGGTCTCACTTTGTAATCAGAAAATACTAGAAATTCAACTCTGTGTAGCCAAACCCTGCTCATGGTACGAGAGGAAAATATTAGCAAGCATAACACAAGCAGCATACAAAACAACAGACCTAGAAGACTCCAAATGTTGATGAAACTAACAGTCACCATAGATTCATTCAAGAAAAGAAAGCCAGCAAGAAAAAGTCACCAAGAATAATGAAACGCCACGATCACAAAATAGATAATAAAGAATCGGCATGCAGCACATTTGATCTTTTCCCGTTGAGTTAAGTTACCCAGGATTCAATTTATACAGTCTCCCTTTATTTCCCTCATTATACCTAAAGATCACCACAGTAGCTCAACCTAAATCAGATCATATAACATTTTAATTCAAATGTGATAAGAACTCCAACAAAATCACAGAACATCCTACTACAGCTCGAAAATTGACTAAAGCAGCCAAGAAATGATTTGCCAAAAAAAAAAAAGAGAGAGAGAAAGCATGGCAACCTACCCCTAGAATCTCACCACGGAAAATTGAGCTAACGTGTAATCTGGTCTTTAAATAAATTATAAAGAATGAGCACCTGCAAGCGTCCGGAGGCCGGTGGTCGGTCTGGGGATTCTTTAGCGCGGGGGTAAGGAAACGGAAGCAGGAAATAAGTAACGGGGAAAGATATTCTCTCTGCAAACAGTGTAAAGCAACCCAAATTCAAATAATTTTGAAACGGTTTCCAGCAGAGAATCTCGCGAAAGCGGAAAATAAAAAAGCAGCACTAAAAACGGAAAAAAGGCAATACATATTACGTACCTCGGAGAAATTGAGTTCTGGAAGCGGAATTCAGCAGGGAAGGAGCAGATAAACCCTAAAGCAAGCTTGTTTGAGAATACAGGAATTGGAAATGAAGCGAGAGAGATGAGAGAGAGAGAATCTGGAAGGTTCTGAGAGTGGCGCGCGGTGGAAAGTGGGAGCTAGGGCATTGGAGTACTGGGGAGAAGAGAATCTTTGATCGATTGGGTTATGATGCTTTTGTGAATGAAACAATGAGTTGGCACGTCGTGAGCTGTCGCCTGAGTTCTCCACCGACTCGGCCCACTAGGCCCAACTCATTTCTCGACTAATTTTGCTTGAATAACAACAAATTGAGGTAAGTAAAGTCTACGGGTGTATTGATCCGGTCGGTTTTCAGGCGCAATCCGACGCTAATCGACCAATCAAAGAGTCAGTTCGATCAGTCAGATTTTACTACCATCATTGATCAGTGATCCGACAAAAGGAAAATTTGATCGAAGATATTGCCCGAATCAATAGTAATAGCTTCTGCTCATCATGGAATGGATTCAGACCATCTACCTGTGCATTTCGATGGTCGAAGATATTCAAGATGAAAGTCATATTCTAATGTATTCCTTCTACCTTCTTTTTTAGGGCTACCAACTTATCTTCTCGTTGCTTATGCTCCACGACATGTTGCTGCTTAGAGTGGGTCGACTTGTCTTACGATGAGGCATACAGGGAGTTGAGTCTCGTGATCTAAGCTGTCTTTCTTATCGAATAGTAGTCATTGTCCAATATTTCTCCTTCCATATTGATGTAGATTATTCATGTTGGTATTTATGTCAAATAATATATATGGTGTGTAAGGTTTGTGAGTTTTTTTTGGTGTCCCACGGACAATGTCAAATGTTGATGCGTAAATATAATATGGGATAATTACCAAATTTGCACCACTTCTTTGTAATAGACGGACAAACCTCGAAAACATAAATATTACCTACCAATAATATTAAAAGAATTCAAATCAGAGAAACTATAGTTTTTTTACCATCCTAACAAAAAAACAGTGGTATTTTATATTGTTTTTTTTAATATATGTTTAGTATTAATTTTGAAAATTGAATATCAATATAATTAAATTTTCAAAATGTGTCAACTAAATAAATATTTAGTTCAATAAAAATATTATTAATTAATTTATTAACACATATCTATAAATTTTATATAATTATTATTTTAAATATAATTTTACATTTTAAAACAAAAAAATAAAAAATAAAACGTCGGGTTCGCCCTCCAAATCACATCATTCGAAAACAATTCTAAAAAATAAATTAAACAAAACAGATATTCAAATCAAGAACAATTTTTGACGTTAAATTTGACAAACAGACGTTCCAAATAGAATACGGATGGCATGCCTAAACAATCTTCAATCTCCGGGTAAATTTCAAAAGCAAAATCCTGCACACCAAAAATGATAGTGTTCCAAATTTTTTCTAAACCTTTTGTTCTGTTTGCAAAAAGAAGAAACCCCCAATTTGAGAGAGGCGCGAGCAAGCCAGGGCGCTACAGAATTGAAAATTCCTCACGTCAGGGAAGAAGAAGAAGAACCTCGCTCTTCAGTCTGGAATTGGATTGAAGACCCTCCTTCGTGCTTGGAGACAACCTTTTTGTTCGATAGGGACTGGGTAGTGTTCTTTTCGCGCTCTGTTTTTTGTTTTTCCTTTATTGTGCTCTCTGATTATATGTCAAGAGAGAGGGAAAGAAAAAAGTCGGGGGTGCTAACAATCACTTCTCATCTCTCATTCATTATTAAGCCGTAGAAAGTTCTATGTTGCCTCAAATTTTGGGTGTTCTAAAACGAAACTCGGAAAATCCTTTACTATTGAACCCTTCTTGGTACCCTTGCGGGATGCTGTTCGTTTGTTGAAGCTGCGGAACTATGGGTATTAACTTGAGCATGGAGTAACACGCACTGGTTTGGACGTCAGAATGAATCATGGTACCAGTTTTGATGAGCTCGACCATCTCTCGTTGGTGCAGAGACAGAAAATGTTGTTGGAAAATAAGCATCCTTTACTGGAAGATGGGAGTAAAATAATATCACCGTGAGTATTATCTGTTGAATTATATATATTGTTCTGCTTATTTCGTTTTGGGTTGGAAAAGATTTAGCTTTTTCTTTGGGCCATTTTCAGGCTTTGCAACGATTTTATTGTCAAGGAAGAAGATGAATGCTGTGATGTGCAGGTAATTTAACATGCGTGTCGCTTCAAATTGTCTTGGTTCTTGTGCTCATTGGTAGGACTTGTTATTGTTCTGGCAGCAATGGCAATTTACAACATAAATTTGTATGCCACACACACATACTCAAGAATTTTCTTTGGGAAGGGGCCCTCTCTTACGGTGGCTGCCGCCAAGTCAATTGGAATATTGTTACCTTTCCTAGAGATGAAGGTGGCCTTACCTAGGTATTGGCAATATTAAGGAGACAAATTTGCACTACTTATGAGGCTTTGGCGCTTCTTGATAATTCATATGAGATATGGAAGGAGGACATCTCAAGGCATTCCTAACAAATGCCGCTATCTATCTAAGTGCCAAAATCGCAACAGGTGCATATCACGAAGCTTGCTCAATATTTTGATCTTCGTGAAAGGCTTACTGTTAAAGATAGTGCCAACACTCATTTTGGCATCATGAATGATGCGTCATTGCATTGTTATCGTTTTCCTAGGCTTCTCTTTCTAGCTATCCACAAGATATTTTAGTCAAAATATTTGTGGATTGATAAATAATTGTTGGGACATCGACCTTAGAAGAGTTCTTCTTGGAAATGGTGTTGCTAACTGGTTCTAAGTTTCTAACTATTGGATCTAATTAATGGGAATACCTTAATGTCTAGTAAAGACTCTAGACCTTGTCTCTTGGGTAGCTTCGTCACTGTCCAATATTATTCCGCCATCTCACCAAAAGAGATCAATTGATCCCTCTATTCCTCTGCAGCTGATTGTGGGAATCATTCATTTCCAAGAAATGCGAATTCTCTCTTTGTCTGTAATTATTCCTCATTGTCCGTTGATGCTTGTTGGATAGTGCTTTTGTAACTCTTTTGGCCTTCATTTGTAATTTCATTACCTTCAATAAAGGGGTTTCTTATCCAGAGTAATTCTTATAGTGAACCGAGACCTTGATCAAGCAAGCCTCCAATATCTTTGGAAGGGGCAGCTCCTTTTCCTCAATTAGTTAGTTTTTATCTTTTTGTTTCCATCTTCAAGTTTATATTTGTTTCTGTTGACTTGAATAGATACATGACACCGCTCCAATTTACTAGTGTACAACCCAACTAAATTTGATACAATGAATCCTAATGACTCAATTTATTTTATTCATGAAAATTTAATTACATAAATTTAACATTAAGATGACTTCTGATCACAGAGGATAATTCATCAATTTCTGTTTATTTTTCAATTTGTTACATGTTCATGCTGCAGGGAGTTTCCTCTATGATATCTACACGTGATGATGGAAATCTGGGAGGTCAACAACTGGAGACACAAATGAAAGATACTAGTGGTATGTGGGGGAAATAGTTCTGAAGGCCTGTTCTATATTGTTTCTGAGATATTCTGGTTTCATCTGGTTTATGATATAGTTCTTGTGACCTTATGTAGGTCATCTTGAGGACAGCTACACTGAGGAGGCTCGATTAAATACAGAGAAGCAGATATCATGCACTATGGAATTTGAGAATCCAACACCACCTGAGGTTCCTGATTGGGTAAGGGTGGAATCTACAGGCATCTTATCAGGTACCTTGGAAGATGGTGTTGATAACTTTACTTCTGCTGGTGTGGCAGTAACTAAGGTTAAAAATGAGATGTTCGACGACTTCAATGAAGATCTTGATCATGTTGTATTTATTGAGCGTCTGAGGATGCTGCTATCAAGGTTCCCCATTTTCTTGGTGATCATATTTTCTCTTTCTCTAGTTATCTTATTTGTTTCTGTCCTGTACTGTTTAGGTCTATACTTATTTTTCCCATACCTAGACAAAGTATATAGTGCGATTCAATTGCATTCGATTCTTTTTTGGTTAAAATAATGTTCTGGGCTTTTATTTTTAATCGCTAAACTTCCAATCATTTCAACTTAAGTCATCTAAATTTAATCTCTATCGACTATCATTAATTTCTCTAATAGGATTTAATAATTGGGATAAATAAACTAAGTCATATAGCAACAAAAACAACAACATAGTCCTGGACAACCTAAATTTAATTAAAAAAAAGTTTGTAACTAATGAAGCCGGTGAAATATTTTGTTCCCAATGATCACTTATTTTGAGTAAGTTGACAACTAATTGATTTTATTTTATTTTTTTCCGAAAATAATATTTATACGACAAGTTCAATAATGGAGTAATTTAGATATTTAATGAAAGGCGAGAGATAAAATTGCAATGATAAAAAATTTAGAGATCAAAATGATATCAAGTCAAATTTGATCACAAAATAATCCTGTAACCTTTTTTTTTTACTAATATCTTTCTTTTGTGAGGGATTAGAGTTTATCTAATGTTATTTCCCTATTCCCATTGTAGGAAAGCATTGGGTTCCATGAATCAACATGTGGAGGTAATTCACTGCTCTTCTGTAATTTGTAGCAATTTAATCTGTAATTTAATATGTCATGGGTGGAATCACACACAAGACAAGACCAATGTCCTCGAAAACTTTAGTTTAACTTGTATCATTGTATGATAGTGACCCATGAGAGGGGATTTGAGTTGAGAGAGACGAAATTGAAACCTATAGAAGTAGAACTGTTGGATGCATGGTTGTCAAAAACGTACGATACGTAGTCAAAAACGTACGATACGCGATACGTATCGTACGATTCAGAACGAAACGAAGGGTAAACGATTCAAATCGTTTTTTGAATCGCAAATCCTACGTATCGTACGTTTCAAATATCAAAACCGTAAAAAACGGAACGAATCGAATCGATTCGATTAGAAAAGGGGGGGGGGGTTTACTCACCTGGTCGTGCATTCCATGGCGTGAGAAGCAGTAGAGAAGGACGGAAGAAGAAGAAAGAAGAAGAAGAAGCGGCGGAAGAAGAACTGAAGAAGACAGAAAAAAGAAGAAGAAGAAATCGACGGAAGAATAATAAATTTATTATTAGGAAAAGAAGAAGAATCAACCGAATAAATTAGGTTGGCTGTAATTGGGATTATAAAATTTAAAACTTAAAACGAAATTTATTTGTTGGGTTTGGCCGGTTTGGGTAAAAGGGGGGGAAGGAGCTGAAAGGTTTTTAATATTTTTAAATTATATATATATATATTAAAAAAAAACTTACGATACACAATACATTAAATTTCAATTACGATTTACGTTCCGATTCACGATTTAACAACCTTAGTTGGATGTGGAATTGTGATGTTTCAAGATGCTTATTCATCAAGCAGATAGTAATGGGTTGAAGTTGAAGGTGTGGTGTGGGCAGGGGCTCCAAAGGTAGGAGTGTCAACCCTCATGAAGAAGAGTAACATCGTATAGGATTTTCTTTTAATCTTCATGTGTTTGAAGAACTTTGGGGATGTGAAACAAAATGAGGGGTGGGTTGAGTCCCATTTAGGCCTGACGTGGGTTTTGAGAATTTTTTGGGCCAACAAAGGATTGTTTCACTCATTTGATTTGACAAAGGAAGGTTGGATAGTCCATAACTTTTCTCCTTGGTATGGAACTACAATCATTCAAATTTCTATAGAAGGTTAAAATTTTCCTTTGAGGAAATCTCTCATGGCAGTTCAAACACACACGAACTTATTCAGAATAGGAGTCCTTTTATTTCTCTCTCGCCAGAGTGATGCTCTTTCTGTGAGAAGATCACTAAAACTCAAGATCATATTTTCAGCATTTTCCCTTTGCTACTGTCCTTTGGTCCTACAACTTTTTGCACAGTTTTGGACGGAAATTGGTCCTCCCTAGCAATATTAAAAGTTCACTCTCTCTTCCTTGAAGGCTGCCATCCTTTTAGAGGGGAGAAAGAATATGGCTAAATCTTGTAAGAGCTTAAACTTAGCTTTTGTGGCTAGAAAAGAATAATAGAATCTACAACAACAAAGAAAAGCCTTTTAGGAGCTGCTTGGATGATGTACTTTCTGTTGCTTTTTCTTGGTGTAAATTTTACTTTCTTGCAATACTTCTAGTCTGCCTTATATTTGTGCCAATTGGAAGATCTTTTCTTCCTTGGCTTGGGGTTTATCTTCTCTCCCCTCTTGTTGTAATCTCATTCACTCGTTGAAATTAGTTTTTATTGGAAAAAAACATATCAACTAGGATTGTGAATTGTGGAGAGACGGAGAATGGACTCTCTCAATTCGAGGCCAAGAAGAAACCTTCTTACTCAATGACACGGTTAGAGCTTAGAGGATTAGTGCCACCATCATCAAAACATGAATTTTTGGAGTGACGAGGAGAGTTTCTTTCTTCAAAATGTTGATATGATGGTATTAGGAAAAGAATTCCCAATGATTAATATATGTTATGCCCATTCTTCTTATGGGGTTCACGCTATTTTCCTTTCCTAGTTCGGTTTTTTATACCATAACTGTGAGAGAAATTATGAGACTTCCGAAATATTTTTTCAAGATTTATTTTACAGCTTATCTTATATTCTTTATGCATGCCTATTTTGTTTTATTGGTCAGCAGTTGATGTTTCCTTCCATGTCTTTTTCATCGTGCTTTGCAACACTAAGTTTTGTGATATTTTGTCAAGATTTGTTTTTTGTTGTTTAGAGTTGTTGGTAATTTGATATGGTGTTGGGTTGTGCAGGGTGGTTCTGGTGCGTCATCAGGAGATCCTATGCAATGCTTCTTGAAACAGAAGGGAAAGTCTATGTTTTCTAATGTAGAACTGACGGGAACTAGAAATGTGTTGCATGATCAAAATGGATGTGATGCTCCTCATCTTGGCAGCCCTTCAGTAGTTTGTTCACCTATTGCAACCATTTCTGGATCCAATTTCTCAAGCAATCGTTCTTTGAATAAATTAACTGAATCAGGCAATGATATGGAACTTAAAGAAGATGATAGGATCTGCTTGTCCGAGAAGGTGACCACAGAATTAGGTTCACGACTTTTGACTAATCATGCCCCTGAAGCAAATTTATTTTATTCCACAAAAGTGAAGGATGAACCCTATGATCATGTTGACGGCTGCAACTTACATGGTAAGGATATGAATAATGTCTGCAGCAGAATTCTGTCGGTAAAGAGTGAAACAACCATGCCTGATGAACCTTATGAAAACAAGGTAGATGATATGCGACTGCAAGATCGAATGAAGTTCTTCTCATCTCGAAAGGTTTTTGGTTCTACATCTAGAGATTACGAGCATCCAAAACCTTCTGACCCCGGATGTAGTTCTCTTGTTTCAGAACCTGCTAGTTTAATGAACGTTAAACGTCGACGCAAATGGAAAAGGACTGCCACGTATATTACTTCACACAGTTGAATTTTATAATTGCAATATATTCTTTTGTTGTGTTTTTTCAATCTTTCTAAGGTGTCCCTGTGTATCAATTTATTTGCAGGAATTCAATTGAAACAGCACTCGAGGAAGATGCTCCTGGCCTTCTCCAGGTATTAATGTCATGCACCATTCAGTTGTGCTTGTGAACTTTGGATCACATTCATTCTAGTTTCATTGGCAGATCCTAGTTGACAAAGGTGTTCTAGTTGATGAAATTAAGCTTTATGGAGAGATGGAAAGTGATGATGATTTGGATGAGTCCTTTAGTGAAGAAAGCTTTGGTGAGCTTGAAGCTGTGATATCGAGGGTGAGCGATATTTCATGTCATGATCTTGCTGTCCTGTTATTGCTTTGCTTTTGTAATTTCTCCAACTTTTTCCTTTATGAGCTGGATAGTGTAAGCTTAGGCTGCTTGTTTAGTACTCTCATCAATACCCTAATGTTTGTCTTACCATATGGTAACAGCTTTTTTCTCAACGCGATTCCTTTCTGAAGTTTCCTCCTATAAGATGCACAAAAGCTTCAAGATCAAGCTATTGCTTAGCTTGTCTAGTTTCACTTATTGAGCAGGTAATAAGTTTTTTCTTCTATTTGATGGTTATGAACTTATTCTGCATTAGTATCAATTTTTCTTATTCACTTCTATTTAGTTCAATGTTGCAATGATTAGTTTTTATGAGCAGGTAATAAGTTTTTTCTTCTATTTGATCGTTATGAACTTATTCTGCATTAGTATCAATTTTTTTTATTCACTTCTATTTAGTTCAATGTTGCAATGATTAGTTTTCTTATTTTAATGATCTTTGGTCTCTTATATATATGCAAAAAATATCTCTTTTTTTCTTTTAGCCTATGTTTAAACATTGTAATTGTCCAGTCTATTCCTCTCTGATAATTTATATTTGTTGTTCAATTTTCTTTTTTAGACAAGATATCTTCATTTCCGAAGTTGGCCTGTCGAATGGGGGTGGTGCCGTGATCTCCAGTCTTTTATATTTGTTTTTGAAAGACATAAAAGGTGAATTTAATTCAATTTATATATCTTTGTGATTGATGTATTGAGTTAAATATTGATGATGGTTCCCTGAGTGCAGAATAGTGCTAGAACGTCCCGAGTATGGGTATGCTACGTATTTCTTTGAGCTTGTGAATTTCTTACCCATCAAGTGGCAGATAAAGCGGTTGGTGATTGCTTTGAAGCTGACTAATTGTAGCAGAATTTCACTACTTGAGAACAGACCATTATTGGTAATAACTTTAGTAGTGACACTTCTTTTATTTGATCTATATTAGTATATTACTATTATTCTGTTTTTATTGCTTAAGAGAAAAATGTCACTGACGATTATTTATTTATTTATTTTTTTTGAGAAAGAAACAATTTCATCGATGATATGAAATTAGATTACAAAAATGAAGACACCCAAGCCATAGAGGTTACAAACACTTTCTTAGTTAGAGTCCTGCTTAGGGAAGTAACTGCGTTTTAGATGTATACAAATGTAAGCATGGTTTGGGGAGGATTTTTTTTACTTATTTTTTTTAACAACTAAATTATATACTCCATCAGAAAAGCTTTCCAATTGGATAACAAAGAAGCAAAACTATAGTGAAAGAGAGGGGAGCATCTACACCAAGAAATGACCATAGGAACTATTGATTAAAAAATAAGGTGTGAAGATTGTTCCTTGTCTTAGAAGATCCTATGATTCCTTTCCATTGAAATGGACCAAAGCAAAGCACGAATAAAATGCATCTTGAGAAACTCAAAGTTGTACAACCTACCTGTTCAAGTAAGGTCGTCGAATAAAATGCATATGTAGATATTTTTTCTCCTTTGTAAAGGGGTGTCCAACTGTCCCGTGAGGGTAGAAGTTAATAGAAGGCGCATGTCTGAGGGAAGAACAACCGGCCATCCAAAGAGAGAGGATTTCGTTCCAGAGGCTGGAAGAGAAATTGCAAGTGGCACTGAAGAATGAAATATATTAGAAGAGCAAGGTATTACAATAAAGCTCCCGGATTGGGGTTATGATCATGGAAATAGGATACATTTACAAGAAAGACTAAAAAATAGGAGTTCAAGAAGAAGCCACAATAGCAACAAGATCCCGGTTTCTTTTCCCTTTGAAGAATTGATGATGCCTTTAAGTACGCCTTTTTTTTTCCTCTCTCCACCTCCCAAGAGATGACAGATTCCACAACTCCAGAGATCACTTTTCTTGATGGAAATTGTTAACCTTTGATGCTGCTGCTTATCAGTTTCTAAGTAATACTTTTTAGGTTTTACAGATTTGTTTAGAATTATACCATGAGTGCTTTAGGGCATCCTCTATACAATTAGTATTACGACCTGTTTTTGTTAGATAGATGAGAAACATCCATGCTTTAACATGCAGTACAACAGTCCCGGGTGCAACAACAGGCCCTACTTTAACTTGGACGAGTGGAAATTTAGTGGCAGTGGGAGTTAAGAAATGCAAGTTCTCGATGACTAAGAATAGAATAACCAATTAGAATAATGAAATAGATTAAATTTTTCAAGGAGTGCAACATTTCAAGGATATCATCCTCATTATGCATCTTGGTGAAGCTTTTAGACGTGTTTCTGGATACTCCTTCAGCATCTCATCAAGAGTTCCTCTAATTTTCTAACCTGTTCTGTATTAGTTTTTTCTTGAATTATCATTCATAAACAATTACCAAGTATTAGTATATCCCCAAGGTTGTGGGGTTTTATTAAATGAAAAAGAGGCCATCATGGGAAAACTAGATTGTTGCAAGATTTCAAAGGGGAAGGAAGGATTTTTTTTTTATTTTTTTTATTTTTACCTTTTCCTTTTTGAATTATCGTTTTCTCAACTTCATTTGCTAACTCTCTGTGCTGCTATACTAAAATTAAATATAAGTTATTTTACAAGTCGTACAGATACTCCTATGAATCCTTTTTCTGTTTTTTACTTTTTGATTTACTGGTTAGTCCTTGCATTTCGAAATAATATATCGAGTTTTAAAAGGCGTGTGCTTGACATATGCAATGGTTTTCTTACCCTTTTATGTTAAATCTGCATTTCTCTGTGGAAGGTTGGGGAAGACTTGACCGAAGGTGAAGCGGGGGTTTTATCGAGCTATGGATGGCTGCCAAATAGTGGCTTGGGTTCAATGCTGAACTACTGTGACAGAGTCGTCCACGACCGAAATCACGAGGACATCTCGGAATGGAGATCAAAAATAGGGAAGCTACTGGTTGACGGTTATAATGGCGGGGCTCTAGTTCAAGAAAATATTCCAAAGCAGGTTGCAGAGTACAGAAGTTCCCAAACCACACAACTTAAGCTGGAACTCTGATTGCTGTTAGTTTCTCATAGTTTACTGTTTTAATACAATTTGTATAATTTATTTGCTGTCAAAGTTTAGTATAATTTCAAGCTGTTCAAGCTTATTGTTCATTAATATGAAGTAGAGAATATTTGGCTCTCATTTGTACATGCATAAAGGACTTCGACTATATTGTTGGAAGTGACTATTCTTTTATGTTATTTTATTTATAAATGCCCATTCTAACACAATTCTCTTATCTAGATTTGGACCCTTTTCACTGTCATTGAATGATTGTTATGTTTCTGTTACAATGTGTTTGAACTAAATTAAAATATTTTTCATATTATTCTGTTATGAAATTAGGCTTGGAGCAATTCTATGTAATATAATAAAGCATGACAACAAACATAAATAAAGGACTTGGGTTTGTAGGAGTAGGCTTCATTCTTGAAAGTAGCTCAAGATAAAAAGTGGCACGAACAAATTATAGGAGATTTTCAAGTATCGAGCGTTTTTCAATTTGGTTTCTATAGTTTTACAAGTTTTATTATAATTTCTATGATAAGATCAAATCTCACGAGAACGGCCTTTGTCATTACTAGATATTAACAATTTTCTTACAACCATGTCTTTTTTGGGTGTGACAAAGAGAGCAAAAGGGTGAGTTTTTGGGGATTAGTTTTTTGGAGGTGTCTAGCAAGACACTTTTTCTCCCCTATACAATGTGTTTTCTCTCCACTCGAATACTCACACGGTTTTCTCTATTTTTTATTTGACTTAAAGTCTAATAATACAATAATTTAATTTAACTTTCATTCCAACCTTATATAGATTATCCATTCATCACCCTCTTTGCTACATCTAGATCGACACAAATTCCAAATCAAGTATATCAATAGTTATACCAATATTTCAAAACGTATTTTATAAATAATTCGACAAATTTCCTACTAAACAAGCAAGATTCTAGCACCTAGAAATTTTGTTGGCCCCTAGTAAAAAGTGCATAACAACAAATTCTACCTATATTTCAAAACATGACATCATTTATTAGACTAGCATTGTAATAATTTCTAACAGCTAATATATTTTTTGTAAATATTTCTTTATTACAGTCTAAAAGTTTCAAAAGAAGCATTAAAACAAAGTGAGTCTGCCGACAAATCCAATTGATTAAGTGAAAGACTAAAGTTTAAAACGTGTAGGGATCTAGATTATGTGTCATAAATATAGTGATTCTAAGTGTTAATTTATCAATTTCAAAGAAAAAAAAAAGAGATTCCAAAGTATTTATAATATGATAATGGAAAAGATAGCAATTGATTATGAAATGGATAATCTCTCTCCTCTCTCTTCCCAATAAAGCCTCCAAAATGCTTCAACTTTACAATGTTCAAGAACATTGTAGAAGAAACCATTTCAATTCTGTGGCTGCACAAGATAAGATTTCTTTCTAATTTTCAATTGCATTTTATTCTTTTCAATTCCAATCTCCATCATTCAAAGAAAGTGCTCAACATATACTTTTCAATTCTTTTCTTTTTGCTTATTAAATTTCTGTGAAAACTCAACAAAAAAAAACAATAATAATAAAAATTCAACCATTGGATATATTTAATCTTTGGTTTAGATTAAAATGTCTAGTTTAGTTCTTAGTTTTTAGGTATATTTCATTTTAATCGTATGAAAATTTCAAGACATCTATTTTAGTATTTTTGAATTTTAAAAAGATAACTACGTTGATCTCTACTATTATCTTTCTCTTGACAATTGGATAACATTGCCTTCAACTATGGAGAGTAAAAAAAAATTAGCTATAACTAAACTGACAACTTTTTGAAAGTTCGAAAAATAGATAATTTAAAAGTTTAGGATCAAAATGATTATTTTAAAAAATATTGAAGAACTAAAATAGGCATTTTAAAAATTCAAAAACAAAAATATTACGAAAATTCAAGAGACTAAAATAGAATAAACCTTAAAGTTTTTGTATTTATACCAAAATGAAATATAAACCTTTATCTCTTCAACTATATTTTTAACATTCCCTTACACATGAAAGTTCAAAGATTAATTTGACCAGTAAAATGCAACACACAGTTAATGTTTAGATTTAAACTGAGGATCCCGTATATCTAGTCGATTAATTGATGTTAAATATAATTTCACCTGAATTTTATTTTTTCTTTTAAAAAGTTTGAAAAGTAAACCAATCATATTATGGGTTTCCACTAGTTTAGTGGAAGAGTAATTTCAAAGTCCAATTGAAGTAAAAACTGCGTAGATTGAAGTGGAAGTGCAGTTTTATCGTAGAGGACACTCAAATAATTAGGAACAAACCTCAATATGAACACTCTTATTCTCACTTGGACCAACAAATTAAAGTAATTAATGCTACAATTTTTACCGATCAACAAAACAGTCAAAATAAAGTCACAAATGTCACCGCGGACTAACCATAAAAATACATCAAACTAACCGCGCCACTAAAGTAATGTAAAAAATGCACAACGTTTGCCCTACAAAATTGTATTTGCAAAATCTTATTTATCTTGTACCACTCGTCACATACAATTCTCCAAAATGATTCCCAAAAAAGATTAAAAAAAAAAAATCTTTACATATATATTAGACAACGTTATGGTAGCCCTAACTTCTGCCTCTATCAGGCGGTGGCAGCATCACCTCCACAGCCACAGCATGAAAGGGCAACTCCTTAATCAACCCTACAACCAATTCACATTTTCTTCGGGATCGACATATGATGCTAAAGCGAAACCGAGCTCGATTGAGAGGGCAACCCCTTTGTTGGCTCTTCGAGACAAAAACACTCATGGGAATGGTGCTAATTCCCATGTTCTTTCAAGTCTCGTTTGGTTTCGAGAGTCTCTCCCTCCCTATCCCTTACTCATCTTTTCATGACTCTACGTTTTTCATTTCAATTAAAAGGTCTCGTACCAATACAGATAAATGTCTTCATCTATATATCATGAATCATGCTCTTTTCTAACCAATGTTGGACTTTGTTTGCATTTCCTTATAAACTCAACATTGTGAACTAAGCAAACCAACGTGTTAAAATGACAACTTTAAGATTAGCTGAATGGATCAAAACATTATATTGACAACAACATTACAGAATTAATATGTCATTCTACGGAAAAAATGGTTTCAAAAAAAGGTTTGAGAAAGTGAGAAAAAAAAGAAAACAATTCACTCATTTCAGACTTGATTTCATAGAGTTCATCATGAAATTCCACATATGTAAACGACTTTTCCTTTTTCTTTTCTGTTCTTTTTAATATCACAGAGGATCAGAAGAAGAAGAAGAATCGAAAGGGGGTGGTGCCAGGGGGTCCCATATTTCCACTATGACTGCCAATGAAATGAGTGCACGTGGGGGCAACTGACCAATGGAACCGCCCCAAATTAACAACAAGTGGGTGACAATAATATAATAAATAAAGATTTTGGATTTTGGATTTTGGTGTGTGGTGTTCCAACTTCTACTGTCTCCAAAAAGCATATGAAATCTGCCAACTCCTAATTCAAATGGGGTTTTTGTAATTTGTTTTTCTTTTTCTACCAAACTTTCCCAACAGATATGGCTTTTATGATCTCTCTTTTTCTTTTGCTTTTCCATTATCAGTTGTCTAACTTCTGGTCTGCTTTGAGCTGAGGATTCTTTCTTTCTTTTTTTTTTTTTGGTGGAAGGAAATGATAGTTTGGGAGTGGGATTTTGAGATGAAACATTAGTTTCCTTTTGCTCCTTTTCACATGTTTAGTTTATGAAAATTTGTTTTTGAATATTATCATATTATTGGAGAACGAATAATTAATTGCATGCCACGTGTCGTAAGATGTTTTGTAAGGCGCAGTTCATAGTCTTTGGAGAATTTGACTAATATTGGATTGACAATACTATTCGACCTAATGGCCGAAGAAGTACAATCAAACTAAAGAGAATCGTTGCTCAACTCTTCACACTCGCCATTAATGTTGGATATTTCCGCCATCCTTTGCGGAATATGCATCGTGGTTAGTCAATTGCTCTAACCATTATCTACACCTAAAAATATCAAGGTAACTCTCTTATTAGGTACACGCGAGTTTGATCTTAAGTTATACACTAAATAGTTTAGTCTGAGACTAATTTGAGCATAAGAGTGTTCACCTCTATTTTGCAAGTCAGTTTTGATTCATCTTACACTAATCTCCAAGCGATCATATTTGAGCTAAAACCACATACATATATAAGGAAATGTTTTACTTTATTTATTTATTTTTGTAAAAAATTAACATATCAAATTGGATAGTAATGTAACAAAAATCATGCGTCTTTTGTTACTATTCCCTATTTTGGCACTATGAATATTTTTTTTGTATTCATATGAATAGAATATATGCTATTTCGTATATTATGTTATCCCTATTTACTTTGTTGGTTGGAGTAATAAGATTTCTGTTCACTCAATTCAATCCAAAAGCAAAATATATATACCCCAATTAAAATATTGGGTTTGTGATGATTATGTTGTTGTATGTAAGGTTTTAAATATTGATGTCGATGTAAATGTTAAGGTCTCTATTTCATGAAAATATAAAAGGAAATATTGATAAGATGTCAAATGTCGAGGGATATTTCTATAAAATTTAGAAAAATAAAAAAATTGTAAAAAATATTTAAATTAAAAAATAAATATTTTCATATCTCTAAATAAGTTAAAAATAATTAGTATTAATATTATGTATATTATAATGACATTTTATTGATATTTTTCATATTTTATCGATTTTTTTGTAACATGATAGAAATCTTGATTTACCTCTAATGTCGATGTCAAACCTATGGAAACATGGACACATCGATGAAAACATCGACGTATTGATGGATATTTAAAACAATGATTTTACGTTGGTCTTTTCCCATCTAAAATAAATAAAATTCACATATGTTTTTATTATAATAAGGATGATGGTAATTGAAACTCACGCAAAAGGAAAGAGAAGAATTTATTTGTTTATTTTAATATAAAAAAAGAGAATGAATCTAATTCATTATTATTATATGGTCTAATCAAACAAATTAATTTATCATTTTTATGTAATTCTTATAAAAGAAGAATTTCTACATGGAGGTACTAAAAAAAAAGTTTTTAGGACATAAATCCCAACCATAAATAAACAACCTAATTCGCCAGAAGTACCTACAATTTTTTTTGTGATCAATGTGATTCATTACT